GCGCACATCATCTATTTCTTGCAGGTCGTTAGGAAAGCCGTAGTCAGGAAGGCCAGGGGTCATTGTCCGTACATTCCAGGTGCCCAGCTTAAGGGCAGAAATTTTCTTACGATTGTTGCATGGTGCACGGTTATCGATCTGCTTGTCGGGTTTGACCCTAAACCCCACGCACCCCGTGAGGTTAACAGACCGTGGCGAGGTAGCACCTTACTGGCTGGGGGCTGCCCAGCTTAAGGCGGGCGGTATCTACCTAGTGAGGTGCAATGACCTCTCCCACCGTCAGAAGTAGCCCCTGGCGTCCTGCTCCACGCCAATTGAGCAAAGACTTATAACCGGTAACTGCTACTTCCCGTGTTGTTTCGACGCTGTATGCGAAGCTGGAGTGTCCTCTCCAGAGCACGAAGCCTGGGTAAAATAATATGGAGGATAGGCTGTTACCCAAGCAGCAAATCCCCCCTCTCCACGTCACTGAAATGGTCCAGTGGAGAGGCAAGAGCCAATACAACTGGTTCCAGCAACGTCGCAGGAGTTGGCAGAGTGACACAAAGTGCCTCCGGGACTCCGGCTCCGGATTTTGCCTCGAGGTTATCTCCTGAAGCCTTTTCCATAAGTGGATATAGCCACAAGGCAGTGGAGGTTTAAATTTGGAGTTTTCCTTCTCCTAGATGGGCTGCCTTCCAGGGCTGACGAGCCCCCCTACCCGGAATACATTGTGCAGGAATACATTTAGGTATATTTGTGTTAGCCTCTGAGCATGTTAAATATATTATGTCTGTCGGTCTACTAACACTATGGCCCTCTCTCTTCCTGCGTGGGTGCTTCTAAGGCTTCTGAGCCCTGAACCTGCTCCCCTCTGCCTTCACCGTGTTCTGGCTGCCTCCACTCTGGATGAGGGCCTGACCTCTGCGCATGCTCCCAGAAGGGCTACCTTGCAAGTTTTCCTTCAGGCCTTCCATGCAGATGTTCTTCTGTTCATAGAATTAACAGGGCGCTTTCCTCTTGATTTTGTCCATGCCTGAGGCTTAAGAAAAGGGTGATCTTCATCATGGCCAAACCAGCCACCACCCAGGCCTGTCATGGCAGGCGTGATGAAACATGCCTGGGCCCAGAAGCCTCATCGGCATTTCAAAAGCTTGCCTTTCCCGCCTCCCTCCAATTTAATTTCTTTTCGAGATTTCAAGCTCTCTTTTAAAGAATTAAATAAGTTTGGGAGTGAATGAAGGAGGAGGGCTTTTGAGCCTCGTCTGTTCCCAGGCTTCCTTTCTCTGCTACACCACCGACAGGGAGAATGCATTTTAAAAACACACACATGATGAATCGAATTAGAGAAAAATGCAATTTAATATTTCAGTTGGTTATTTTTTGGGTTAAGGATCCTGCTCCCGGCCACTCTATTCTGATTTTTTTTATTACTGCAAATTTTATTTTATTTCATTTTAATCCTAAATTTTATTCCAAATTCCTAAACTCGGCAACAAATCCCCCCAAAAAGGCATGCCGTGATTTGTTCATTCATTCATTTAATCTCGGGGTCATCATACAGCTCCGAGCACTTGAAACAATGCCAGCGCCTGTCACCATAGAGACGAGTCCGCGTAGCGCGGCCCTCCAGCCGCTCTCATCTTCCGGCGTTGACGCAACTCGGCCGCAACCAATCAGCGTAACGTTCTGACGAGAGGGGCGTGGCTAGCTCCTCCTTCCACCCTTAGGCGGCGAAAGGGAGGCAAAAAACCCAGAGCCATCTTTCCCTTAACCAAGATGGCGCCGGGGCGTATCCTCACGTGATCGGAAGCCGACGCACACTCCCTTCCCCCACTATCCTGTTCCTTGGGTTCCTGTTTCCCCCTCGAACTTCCGCTTCCTGTTTATCCCCGGCTTGTCTCCGGAGAGGAGGGAAGGGAGGGCGGTATATTTTGGGGGGAGGGGCGTTCTCCGGCTGGGGGTGGCTCCCTTAAATTAGGGNNGGCTCCCTTAAATGGGGGGGGGGGGCAATTGGGGGAGGGGGGTCTCCTTCGCCGCCATTATGAAGAAATTCTTCCAGGACATCAAGGCCGACATCCAGTTCAGAACGGCCGGGCCGGGCCAGAAGCTCAGCGAGTCGCCTAGGTAACCGCCCCCACACGCCTGTCCTGAGGGGGGCTCTGTGGGGGGAGGGGTCGAAGGAGGGGAAGGGGGTCTGGGTCATGGAAGGAACGGAGGGGGCACATGGGATGGGGTCTTAATTAACTGAGTGGGGCCTTTTTTGGGTGGGTAGGGTCTTAATTGTGATCTTAATTAGCTGGGTGGGGTCTTAATTGGATGGAGGGTCCATTGGGTGGGTTTCCTCTGGGGGGTAGAAATTCAGATTTTCCAGGGGCTTCTGAGAGGCAGGGGGGATTTCCCCCCCCCCCCAGCCACTGGGGATGCCTTCTCGGACCCACACACCCTACAAAGCCAGGTGCCTGACTTCTGAGCCTTGGTCCTTTAAAAAAAAGTGGGAGGGAATCAAGTTTCTAGTCCTCATTCCGAAGATACAGACTGATTTGGTCAAGGAATTTACGAAGCACTCTCGAAATGTGTCCCAGTCGCATCCCTCTGGGACGGCCAACACCCTGGTTCTGAAATGGGTGTCCCCAGATGGCTTTGGAGTACAGGTCCCAGAATCCCTGGCTTTCAGCAGTACTATCTGTGGATGATGGTAGCAGCAGACCCAACTCTGAGGGCCTTGGCTCCAGATGAGCTCGGTGGAATTTCTGACAGGAAAATTTTTCTCAGCCTGGAGCCTGGGTTCCTTCTTCGAGTGAAAACCAGGGGCTCGATCATTGATCTGGGACCTGTTTCCTCTCCTCATAAAATAAGATTCTAGTCCTCGTTGTTTCCGATTAAAGAAAAGGTTTGAGTAACAGCGGAGGAGGCTATTTCAGACTAAATTGGGCCCATGAGCCTCCAAGTTCCCAACCGAGCCCCTCTCCAGGCCCTACCCAGAGAGGCCAGCGTGAGGAGTTGGCTTTATTACGGTTGTGCTGGTGCCTCCTTCCAAACGTTTAAGGACCACAGCCCCCATTGTCCTGGAAGCTGGTGCAGGTGGGATTGAAGCCCACAAGGAGGGAAGAGAGAGCTGAGGGCTCGCCCTGCTGTTCAGTAGGTGACCCCCACACCCCTTTGTGATGCTGCACACGGCTGGGAGGGGGCTTATTTGCTCAGCGAGGCCCGCCAGGTTGAGCTCGCTTTCTGTCCAATGGTCTGTGCACCCCTTTCGCTTCCCTGATCCGTACTTGCCTCGGTTACCTTCCTGTGGCTCACTTGGTTTTCCTCGCTCTATAGGGACAGGTTTGTCACCCTCTTTGTTGAAGGGGGACGGGTGGCAGTGGGGCCTCTGATCCTGTCATTTTTTTTTGAAGCGCTCTGTGTGTGTGTGGTGGGGAATGTTCTTCCAGACCACGCAGATGTCGCTGCAGGTGGGGTACGAAGTGTGGCACAGATCCGTGCCATGCTGGAGGGACTGAGAAGCTTAACAGCAGAAGTGAGAAAGCAATAGGGTGATCCTTCGACAGCTCAAGGATTTCGGTCTCAAACCTTGGGAGTTTGACTCCCTCACTCTGCCTCCTCGAGCGAGGCTGGACTGTAGGCTCTCTGAGGATCCCTTCTGGCTCTGCCCTTCTAGGATTTTTATAGAACTGCTGGTCAGCTCAGGGTGTTCAGCCTCTGGCGGCAGTGCCCGAGGTTGGGAGTTCGAATCCTCCACTAGGCCTCCTTGACATGGGCTTGACTCCATGATCCAGAGGGTCTGTTCAAGCCTTGCAGTTCTAAGATTAATATTATTTTTAAAAGATACAGAGGATGCTTCTTGCCCGGGTGAAAAGCCCAGAGTTTTAAAAGCAGGCATGGTCAAAGAAGGATGACCAGATGCTATTTTTGCTTCTCTCACACACATAAACACATACACTCCTGCCTCACAAGGTTGCCAGTGTGAGGATAAAGGGAATATGGTGCTTCCTATAGGAAAGACAAGATAACTGCTGGAATTAACAAAGAAATAAATAACTTGCCGTTTGGTGTTTTTTTTCTCTCTCCTGGACCTGTCTGGCATTTATAGTCCGTTTATAGTTTCCTAAAGTTCTCCTCCTCTCCTGACAGGGAAAGCGCTCCCAAAGAGAAACATTTATAGTCCGTTTATAGTCTCCTAAAGTTCTCCTCCTCTCTTGACAGGGAAAGCGCTCCCAAAGAGAAATCAAAACCGGGCCCTTCCAAGTCTCGGCAGGGGCCAACCAACGAAGCTCAGATGGCAGCGGCCGCCGCCCTGGCCCGGCTGGAGCAAAAGCCAAAGGCCCGGCCCCTCTCATCCCAAGACGCCATCCGGAATCAGGGTGAGAGGGGGCAAACCGCCAGGGGCTCTGTCATGGGTCCCTTGCTTGTGGGGGGGGGGAGTCATGTTGAGCCTCGTTTCCTTTCTGTCTTCTTCAAAATATTTATCTCCTGTTTTCCACCCCTTTGGCATCACAGTTCCAGAGACTCTCTGCAAAAGAATAATACACAGGGTTGGGGAGGGGGAGGAAAAAAAATCAGTTTTTGAACAATCTTATTTGTGAACCCAACAAGAATCCAAAAAAACTTTTAAAGCTGAGTCGAGAGATAAATTTTGGAAACTGAAAGGATGTTGTGCTACTTTTTACGGCAGCTAAAGGCGTGACTTTTGATATATATTCTGCTCTGCTGTGCGGGACAAATTGTGTGTCACAGGAGGCAGATTAATGGCTTTTCCATTCGGGGCGGTGGGCACCCAGCTTCGTTCCTTCCTGAAAAAGGTCGCCTTGTTCTCCAGCTTCTCGTGGTCTCTTTCTTTCAGTGAAAAAAGAGCTGATGGCTGAAGCGGCTGCGAGCGATAAAGGGGCCTCAGTGGAGCAGAAGGTAATAAGGTGATAAAGTAGCAGCTGGGGGTGGGGTGGGTGGGCAGTGCGTGTAGCCAAAACCATAAAGTGGCAGATACGGCGTATTTTCCCTTTGGATGGTCTCAGGTCTTCCTTGCTTTCTTTTTTTAAAAAGAGTCCAACAGCTGGGGCCGAGGAAGACCCATCCCTCCTCTCCGTCTCGGGGGTGTATTTCACATGCCCCTTGACGGGGGTCATCGTCCGGAAAGACCAGAGAGACAAGCAGATCAAAGAGGCCATTCTTGAGGTGAGTTGGCCCCCTATTCGCACCCGGAAGAGAGGATGCTCTCTTAGCCTCCGAGCATCTCGGTCACTGGATCTTGTCTTGGCAGCTTACGAGTACGGCTTTCTTGTCTCTCTAGCACGCTGCCAGAGACCCCGTGGCCGCCTCCATCATGGAGATCCACACCTTCAACAGAGACCGGGAAAAAGTCAAGCTTGGTGTCGAGACCATCGCAAAGTAGGTTTTGCTGATCGGCTGTGAATTATCTGAGAACAGCAAAGCCGAGAGGAACCCCTAAGGATCGTCCAGTCCAGCCCCTGCCGAGCAGGCCCGGTGGGGGGGGATTCGAACGCCCAACCCTCTGGTTCTGCAGCTGAGCCCGAGAGGGGATCCTGAGTAGACCCTCTTGACAGCTGACGTGGGTCTGGTCACCTCCCCCATGGGGGTTCGTTGCTCTTGATTGCTTCAAGGCAATGGATTCTTAATTGTGTCCCCAGTTGTGTTGAAGGTAAAACCACCTCCTGTGGGGCCTTTCTGTCCCATATAGGAATAAGATCCTATATGTTAAAATTCAGCATCTCCTGGAAGACTTTCCCACCTCGAGATCCGGTGCCGGGCTCTGTATAGACCGGGGTGGGGAAGTTCAGGGGCGACAGTGGCTGCTTTTCAGCTCCCAGGGCAGCCGTGAACATTCTTGCCTTCCAGAGGATGCGTGTCTGAGAAGAGTCTGAAGTGCCTTCTTCCCCACTCAGGTATCTTGACAACATCCACCTCCACCCAGAGGAAGAAAAGTACCAGAAAATCAAACTTCAGAACAAAGTGTTTCAGGTGAGTCTGTGTCCAGTGGATCCCTAGTGCTGGGTCTGGTAAGCAAGGTGAATGATGGAGAGCTAGAGGTTGGGAGTTCGATTCCCCCATGGGGACTCCTTAGACTCATAGAATCATGGAGCTGGAAGGAGACCACAGTTTTATCAGTCCTTCACCGATAAAGCTGCTCTCTCCTGACTTCTTTGGACAAAGTGATGCAGTGGTTTCATCATCCCCCACCAGGATGGTTCAGAGGTGGGCAAGGAATGGATGAAGCCTGCCATTGGCCTAATGGCAGGCTAGATCCTCCAGATCCAGCAACACTCTACCTTTGAGGTTTTACTATGTTATCAGGCACAGTTCAGCAAAGGTTGCTCCTAGCAGAAGTAGCAGGGAGGGCCTAGGGTTAACAGGGGCCAGCGCTAACCCACTTGGCTTCCTTCCAGGAAAGAATCCACTGCCTGGAGGGAGCAGACAAATTTTTCGAGGCCGTTGGATTCGAAAAAGCCACCCTGAGCGTGCCGGGACAAGGTAAATGATGTTGTGTAAGGAACCAGGACGTCCCAAATTTTAAGGGCCTTTAGCAAAACCTCACCACATCCCAGCCCCCAGGGCTTCCTACGTGCTTATGAAACACTAGAAAGATTTTAAATGGAGTTAAAAGTATGAGGATCATGAAAGGGGAAAAAAAACACTCCAGAAAGACAGACATGCTGCATGGTAAGAGCAGTTTTCTTTGGCCCCTATGAGTTAACAGCACAGGTGGGATCAAGCAGGTCGGTGACCTTTCGCCGTCCTGGTAACGTTAAGAGATAAAGAAGCCCACCTCACAAGGATGGTGGGAATTAAGATGTCAGAACTCCCCAGCCAGTCGGCCGTGATCCAAACAGTGCGGAAAGCCCCAAGGGTTCGGTGTAGGAAGCAAAATGGGGATGGCTGATAAGACGTATTAAAAGGGTTACTGTTATTTTTCTCTCTCCTGCGCTGAAGAAGGCACCACAGAGGACTTCTACGTCCTGAAGGACGCCGCTCTGGAGAAGCTGGACACCTTGAAGGAACAGAAGGAGAAGCTGTTGAAGGGAGAGCCCGTCCGAGCCCAGCTGGACCGCCAGCTCAGCATCTTCAAGCCCTCTCCCCAGGCCTCCCGCTTCGAGCTCCCGTCCGACTTCTTCAACCTCACGGCAGAGGAGCTCAAGAGAGAGCAAAGGCTCCGGTGAGCGTCTCTCATCCGTTCCGGCCAAGAGGGCCTGATGGACGCCGGGCACAAAGTTTGTCATGGGGGGGGGAAGACTTTTGCTTTGGATGACCAACGGGTTCCTGTCTTAAAACCCGCCGGGATCTTGGGTTCTTAAGCCAAGCATGTTGCAGAGACGGAGAACAAGGCCGATTGCTGGCCTTTCTCTCCCTTTTTGTTCTTCCTTTTCTTTCTGTTTTGGGACTGGGGTTCCATGGCTGCCTTTCTCTCTTGCCTTTGTCTCTGAAGGACAGAAGCGGTGGAGAAGGCCTCCATGCTGAGGACCAAAGCCATGCGGGAGAAGGAGGAGCAGCGAGAACTAAGGAAGTACAACTATACACTCCTTCGTGTCCGTTTCCCCGACGGCTACATCCTGCAAGGCAAGTGGAGGGGGCGGGGGGGGGGTTCCTGTCATCAAGAGTGGGAGCAATCGCATCCCCCACCCCACCCTGGTGTGACAAATGACCTTGAGGTGGAATCAGACAACTCCTCGCCTGCCTCTTTATAAGCTTCTTGCTGCTTCTCCTTCCATTCAGAAATAGGAGTCTATTTAGAAGAACCTGGGGCATGGTGGTTAGAAATGTTTGTAGAATCATGTTGTTGGAAAGGGGGGGAACTCTGAGGCCATCCAGTCTAACTCCTTGCTCAAGGCAGGGATCTAAATCAAAGCAGATCGGACAGAGGTTGGTCCCAGGTTCTCTGGGAGGCTTCCAGCGCTAAAGTGCTCACCACCTCCCTCTGAGGTCATGGGTTCCGTTGTCATACTGCTCTAACAGTTAGGAGGTTTCCCCTGATATTGAACCAAAATCTGGCTTCCTGTTGTCACTTGAATCCATGGTTGTGTGTCCTGTACTTGGGGATGTTGGAGAACAGATCCCACCCGTCCTCTGTCGGATAGCCTTTCAAGTCTTTGGAAAGTTTGCTCTCCTGTCTCCCCTTAGCCTTCGGTTCAAATCCCTGCAAGGGCCATGAAACTCCCTTGCAGGCCTTGGACAGTCCCTTCCTCTCAGCCTGGCCTACCTCATAGGGATACTGTGACAACACCGCGAGACAAGACATCCACCGTTGTGAACTTCCTAGAGGAGATGTAATGGTATCAGAGGCCTCGTTATTCTTTTGTGTGGTAATCCAAAAAGCATCAGGTCAAATCCTTGTTAGCCTGAACCAGGGAAAAAACAAACCAAGCCAAAACAGGTTTAGGGAATTCTTGAATCTCCCATAATGGAAGAGCTGAACCGTTCTTAGAATCTATTGTATCTTTAAATATCCTGGAGGGAGCTGCTGAGTTGTCATCTTGGGTTTTACTCCCGAGCAGAGAGGCTCTGAAAGGATGTACGTGTCTAGATGGTTAAAGAATCTCACCGACCAGCATCCGCTCTGCTTTGGCCTCATTTAAAGCCTCCTCAGGGCTCAAGTGGCTTATGTCCTTTCTTCTCCCTCTTCTCTCTGGCTTCAGGGACATTCTACGCTCGGGAGCCTGTCTCGGCGCTTTTCCAGTTCGTGCGGGAGACTCTCCAGAACGACTGGCTGCCCTTCGAGCTACTGGCCCCTGGCGGTCACAAGCTGGCCGACGAAGAGGTGGCGCTCAACGAATGCGGGCTGGTAAGTGCAAACTTTTCCCCGGACAGGCTCCACGCCCAACAAAATCCAAGAATGCAGGGCTGGGAGAACCCACCAAAGCCCACCACTCCATCCTTGCAGTCGGCAACCAGATACTCCAGGAGTCCTCGCTGAATCCCCCAGCATTCTGCCTGTTCTTGGCTGCAATGATGGAGCGGTCACAATTCTCCATCCCTTTCTGGCTCCTTGACTTGTCAGGAGTCTTGCCACCAGACGGCTCTGCACCTTAGGATTTTCCTTGCCTTTCCACTTCCAGGAAGCATTATCTTCCAACCCCTGGGCACAGTGACACCTGTTATAAATAAATCTGTGCCTTTTCATTTGCTTTTCTCACCGGAGCTGACAAGGTTCATCAACTGCTAGCCTAACTTTATACATTTAGGTGGAACAGGGACCTGTGTGAAAGCCTGGTGGGGGGGAGGAATGTGGCTCCAAACAGTGACTGGGAATAGGATCATAAAGATGGAAGGGGACTATAAGGTCATTGAGTCCAATCCCCTTTTCAGTGCAGGACAGGATAAGGAGATAGTTGCGCCCTCATCTGATCTAGAATGTGCCTTAAAAGGATTCCTTTCCCACTCCTCTCATTTCTACAAGTCAAGCTTTCCTCATCAGCATTTCAAGGGGCCTGCCTTTGTGAATGTGATGTGCAAAGAGAAACGCCTCTTCTGTTCATCCACTTAAGAATGGTGGGGTTTCTCTCCCTCCCCTCGTAATGGATGTACCTTCGCTTGTCAAAATGGTGTATGTCTACTGATGTTCTTGAAAATATTCTCCTTTGAGCATTCATTGCCAGGCCTTTGCGCGACGGACAGGCTAGTATGTCAGTGTTGCAAAAAACACAGAGGCTAGCAAAGATGCCACTGAACGGCACTTTTAAAAGGTTTTGTTTTTCCTTTTTAAGGTGCCCTCTGCGCTTCTGACCTTCATGTGGGACGCCGAGGTCATGGCGGACATAAAAGCTTCGGGCGGCAAGCACGCGGGAAGCGTCCTCAAGCCAGACCTCCTGTTGTCTGTGCGGATTCTGTCCTGAAAATTAAAAAAAGGAAAAGAAGCCCAGCCTGGTGTTCCATCCAGCCTGGTCCTCTTCCTCTGCATCTAACGGGCGCTGCTTCAGTTACTGTATGTCTTCGTCTTATGAACACTAGAGGGGGGAATAAAAAGACGGCTTTTTAAAAAATTCCCAGCTCACATTTAAGGAGTCTAGCTTCAGAGCAGCCCTAGCATAAATGGTTGGCGTTATCTAGCTGGAAGGTAGGGTGTCGAAGGCAAACTTGCTTCAACGTATGTGGGAGCAAGAGGGGGATTTTTAAAAAACTCTTTATCCTGTGAACACTGGCAGATTGTGCTCAGAAACAGATTTAACACTACCTTCCTGGAGTCTTAATGAATGATGTAGCTAAAATGAACCCACCTGCCCAACAGCCTGCCATTGAGTGGAATTTAGGATTGCAAAATATTTCCGTTTGGCTTCACGAAGCACTTTAGTCCTCCTGGACTAGGAGGGAAACTGAGGGGGTTCCCCTGCCGCCCCTTTTAAACGGCGCCCACAACCATAACCAGTCTGATAAGCTGTCGGCTTGAGCCGCGGGGAGCGGAGAAACAAGGCAGAGAAGAGCCAGAAATTCGGGCTCAGGAGAACAGGCGGCCGGATTGGCATCACTGGGCTTCATTCTCTCTCCCCCCACCCCCCAGCTGGCCAGTTGTGAGCGAGGTGGGTGTCGCAATTCATCCCTGCTTTGAGGTTCAAAAACTGTGGGAGGAATCTGGGATAGAGGGAAGAGAAATCCAGTTATGGTTGGACCTTCCTCTGTATGTTGTTTATGTATGTCATTTACGGGAAGATGAGAACGGTGCGGAGAGCTGAAGGCTGACATTATGTCCCTCCCAATCTATTCCCCCCCCCCCGTTCTTGCTTCCATTACCTATGAATCTATGGCTGGAGTTTATTTATTTCTGAAAGAACTTTTATTAACGAAGGAAGGCTGTACCGTGACACATTATTTTTGGAATTTAAAAGAAATTTAGATACTGAGATGTTTGGTGTCTTAACTGGGTTAGGAGCGGGTGCTTTACCTACCATTGTATGGTTGGCCCAGGGCTCTGTGGTGCAAGGATATGGACTGTTCTGGGCCAACGGGGGCCACCCCTCCCTCACTAGAGAAGCTTGGTTGTCCTCTCTCTGTTTGGCAAAACAAGGAGAAGCCTGGTCCTTTCCCTTCAAGGCAAGGGGGCACTTTGAGAAGAGAGACCCAGCACATTTGGAAACCCTTCGTCCCAGCAAGAAACAGAGCGCTTCTTCAGAAACCGTCCCTTCTGCCTCCACCAGCGGCGAACGGCACAGAACTGCTGTTCAGAAACTGAAAGAGAACCCAGGAGCGAGACAACATTTGCAAAGGCAGGGGCTTTTAAAAAACAAACCTTTTCGATGGTTTGACCTCCAGTTGCAGATGGTGTTTTTAAGAAACAACCTGAAACAATTCCATGCATCGTAGACGGAGGCTTTCCAAGTTATTTCCCAGCCCCCTAGTCCCAAAATGGTGCAATATCTGTGTATCAATCTATACCATAATAAGTTGTATGGTGACGTGTTCTAGGTAGAGAAAGCTGAGAAGTTTTCTTCAGGGGTGGGGGGGGAAGGATTTGAACTCCCAACCTCTGGTTCAACACCTTGAGGTGGTGTCATTTTCTAGCTGTAATCCTCCAACTAAAGATACCTCTTTAAAGATGGAAGAGCTGCACCACGGGGTTTGAACAAGCAGTGCTTGAAAGACCTCCAGGCAAGAAATACCGGCCCACAATTCGAACATCAAATCTGTGTGCTAAGGTAAAGGTTCCCCTTGACAATTTTTGTCCAGTTGTGTTTGACTCTAGGAAGCGGTGCTCATCCCTGTTTCCAAGCCACAGAGCCAGCGTTTTTGTCCGAAAACAATCTTCCGTGGTCACATGGCCAGTGCGACTTAGACATGGACCGCTGTTACCTTCCCACTGAGGTGGTCCCTATTTATCTACTCACATTTGCATGCTTTCGAACTGCTAGGTTGGCGGGAGCTGGGACAAGCGACGGGAGCTCACTCCATCACGTGGATTTGATGTTACAGCTGCAGATTTATAGACCTTAAAACACAGAAGCTTCTGCGGTTTAACCCACAGCGCCACCACGTCCCTTCACGTGTGCTAAGAGCTGTGCCTTTTGTATTACCTTTGAAATAGGAAATGTTGCAGTATTTCATGCTTTTTCTGGCCCAGCGCCACTGGCATAAAATTGAAACAGGTCTTGCATCTTGGGAAGGGCTTGTCGAAAATTTCAATAATGCTTTTATTGGAAAAGATTATATGCTGCAGGTTTTTCATCTAACCCCTGCTCCCATCTGTCCCCCTAAACCTCTTTTTTAAAAAAATTACGGGCTTGAGCTTCTTCAGCCAGTCTGAAGCAGAACAAAGTGCTGTCTTCTCTTTACAAGGAACACAGAGTCATGTTCAAGTATCTTATACAAAAAAAAAAATGATACGCAGGAGTTGTACAGTGTGCTAAAAAGACTTCTACATACATACAGGAAAGTTAAAAATGAGGAGGTTCTGTATCAAACAGTGCTGGAAGACTTGTCACTGGAATCCTGAGGAGTTTGCTCCATCTCTTGAGCTTCGGGGGTCCGCATCCCAGCATCCACAGCAGCTGTGAAAACACATTTTATGGGGGAGGGGGTTGAATTAAAAGGTCTGATCTACATTCAGCCACAATATCTGCCCTCACTACTTCCAATTCAGTCTGGTTCTAACAGTGAAACAGCCTTGTGGATGCTGCTGATGCCGTTTTTTTAAAATGCAGGGCAGTGGAAAACCCGTTCCGGGTTTTCGTCCAAACTTTGCAGAAATTCCTCAGGGGGCTGAATTCTGCCTTTCTCCCTAAAAGAGTGCCCGGACAGTTCAGACACAAAAGGTGAGGCAGATTCGTTGCCCTCTCTCCGTCCAGCCTCCATTCAGAGCTCTGTATGGGAGACCCATTGGTTCATCCCAGGGACTGTCAAGATACAGCTGGGGAAAGCCACTGCTGCCAGCCAGAGTCAGCCACACTGGGCTGTATGGATTAAATATCTTGTTCAATAAAGGCAGCTTTCTATCTGCTCTCTATGGCACATAAAATTTAACAGCAAGAATATTTCTGCCAGGAAATGATTTCTGAGACTGTGCTTAGTGCGGTAACTTTGCCACTGTCCCCATCCAAAGATTTCGGGCTACAGAAAGGTCAGACCGAATCCCTAAGAAACAAAACGGGTAATAAAAGGTGCACAAAGGAATGTGGTCCCATCTTCCCACTCCTTCCATCTGACAACAAAAACAGGGCTATGCTTATCCCCCCCTTTTTTTATTATCTTTTCTGGGGTGTCCTGTTATCATCATCTGAGAATGGCAGAGCTAGAAGGCTCCCCATCAATCATCAAGTCCCGCCCCTGTCAAGGAGGTACCATGGAGAATTTTCTACCCTCCATTATCAAATCTAGATAATTTCAAATTATAAAATGTAGAGGTTCTTACACAGTCTCGAGGGGCAGAGGGAACAGCACAAGCTTAACATGTATAACCCTGGCAGAATAGGAGGTGAGCTCAGGAAACCTGGGAGCAAAACTGGGACTAACTTAAATTCTCTCACCTTGCCTCGGTTCAACCTCCATAAGGATGCAGTCATCGTCCTCGTCCTCCTCCTCCGTGTCTGCCTGAAATCCATCCATTTCGGTGGTCTCAGCCTTCCGGCAACGAAAAAGGAGAACGCTGGCTTCAGACATCACCAGCTTCATAGCCTGGTTGATTTATATTATCTAACCTTTCTACCCTTCCTCCTCCAAATACAGAAGGAGCCCCTTACTCACAGGATCACAGTACCTGCTGATTCAGTTATCCACAGTCTGAAGATATTAAAAGAAAAGTCCCCAAAATATATTACTCTAACTATGAAGTTCCCAGAACAGGTCACTAGAAGGAGCCAGAAACCATGCTATGTGTGGCGTTCACTATTATAACAGCGCTTGCTATAATCCGTGTTTTTCTGCATCTGCGTGGGGACTTGGAACCAGTACCCCACGGATATGGGGTTACTAAGGTATAATCAAAACCTGACCTGCTGAAAAAGGAACAGGGTGAACGAAACCGGCGTGGCAGCCGGAAAGGTTCTCTTCAGAGCAGAACAAACAGACCCTGTGCACGTGTCTCTTGAGTGCCAAACGCTCAGCCTTGCAAAGATGTAAGTCCAAACTATACCAACCCCTGGATGGTCCCAGAAACCGAACGGCTGATGAAATGCAGGACTCCAGGGGCTGCACGTACAGATCCTTCTGAATGAGGGATCTCTTAAAGACTGGGGAGAAAGATGATGGATGGTCTGGGTCCGAAAGGGAACGAAGCCACAAAAGGATCTCACCTGCCCGACATCTGGCGTTCGCTTCATGAACTTGGTGATCGACATGCTCCCAGTTGGCTTCCGTTTGGCCATCACGGGAGCGGTTTGCGCAGCCGTCCCTCCGGGCGAATTGCCGCTGTCTTCCTTTGCCGCGGAAGGAACCGGCGTGACGTAGTTCCACTGGCAGGGGACGGGCAGGCTTTCTCGGCCGTAGCTTTTCAGCACCTCGGGGTGGACGTACCAGCACATCCGGCGGTCGGGCCTCTTCTCGTACACAGAGTTCTCGGAGATGAGCCGCTTCAGCCGGGCCTTGGAAGGGACGCCGTTCTCCTCCAAGAGAGGAGCCTGTGGCTGGGAGGTGGGGCCACCCACCGGGCCATCACCCCCGCAGCCCTCCACCGCCGAGGGACCGCCATGGTGGTCCGACAACAATCCCAAGCGGCAACACTGCTGGAACTCTTGAATGATGACTTTGCTGCCGTTCACATTCCCATGAAGCAAAGGAAGGAGCTGGCCCAAGACTAAAAAAACAAAAATGGGGAAATGGGAGGAGGGAACAACAGATTTGCAGAAAGAATGGCTTAGCTTTATTTCATTCTTACCCCACCTTTCTCAACTAGCAGAGACTCGAAAATTTGAAACCTGCACTTTGTAGAAACAAATCAAGGTTTAAAAACTACAGTAATGAATTCAACTGTCCCTATCCGACCTTTGGTGATTCCAGAAGCCAGCTCTCTCCCATGATTTTTGATCTTGTACAGCTTTACATTTTGGGAATATATATATACACCCTGCTTCTTTGAAAATAAGCTCTAGTAGGACTTTTTAGGATGTTCGTCATAGAAGCCCTACCCTCCAAAAATAAGCCCATGTTAAGTGAAACCCTGCCTTCCACCTTTGTGCAGCAGCCAGAGGAAGAGGACAGGACTGTCTTTGAATCAATGTAGATGGTTGTACATGAAAAAAGTAAAACATTCCGTGAAAATAAGCCCTACTGCATTTTTGGAGCAAAAATTAATATAAGACCCTGTTTTACTTTTGGGGAAACACCTGTAATTATGTATATACGTACACGTGTGTTAAACACTACTTAAAAACTTTAAATTTAACAGTCTTCTGTCTCTCTGTTTTATTTATTTAAAATGAACACTCAACAGGCAGAAGTCCTCAACGCATTAAAACAAAGAGGATAAAGTCAGAAAATGTAGAATGAAAGAAGTAAATCAGCCGTTACTAGAATAACACAGCCCTCTGTCAGATACACTTTGACTTGAAATCCTCCCTTGAGCAGGGGGCTGGGCTGGATGGCCTTTGAGGAATGATTTTTGATCTTGTACAGCTTTACATTTTGGGAAAATATATATATATTCCCAAATATATATATATATACCCTGCTTCTTTGAAAATAAGCCCTAGTACAATTTTTCAGGATGCTCGTCATAGAAGCGCTACCCTCCAAAAATAAGCCCATGTTAAGTGAAACCCCGTCTTCCACCCTTGTGCAGCAGCCAGAGGAAGAGGACAGGACTGTCTTTGAATCAATGTAGATGGTTGTCCATGAAAAAAATAAAACATTCCGTGAAAATAAGCCCTACTGCATTTTTGGAGCAAAAATTAATATAAGACCCTGTTTTACTTTTGGGGAAACGCCTGTAATTATGTACATACGTACACGTGTGTTAAACACTACTTAAAAACTTTAAATTTAACAGTCTTCTGTCTCTCTGTTTTATTTATTTAAAATGAACACTCAACAGGCAGAAGTCCTCAACGCATTAAAACAAAGAGGATAAAGTCAGAAAATGTAGAATGAAAGAAGTAAATCAGCCGTTACTAGAATAACACAGCCCTCTGTCAGATACACTTTGACTTGAAATCCTCCCTTGAGCAGGGGGCTGGGCTGGATGGCCTTTGAGGACCCTCCTAATGTCTGCAGTTTGATATTAATACCAGAATGCCTGAATGTTAAAATAACATGTAGATCAATTGGTGTAAGATATATTAGAAAATCTGAAGGTTAAAGGACTAAAACGATGGGCAATTACGTTAAAGGAGCCTCGAGGTGGATGGGTTTAACGGTTGTGCCACAGCCCAACCTGTGGTCACAATCCAGGTTCAAGCCCTAGTACAATTTTTCAGGATGCTCGTCATAGAAGCGCTACCCTCCAAAAATAAGCCCATGTTAAGTGAAACCCCGTCTTCCACCCTTGTGCAGCAGCCAGAGGAAGAGGACAGGACTGTCTTTGAATCAATGTAGATGGTTGTCCATGAAAAAAATAAAACATTCCGTGAAAATAAGCCCTACTGCATTTTTGGAGCAAAAATTAATATAAGACCCTGTTTTACTTTTGGGGAAACGCCTGTAATTATGTACATACGTACACGTGTGTTAAACACTACTTTAAAACTTTAAATTTTAAAAGGCCTCCCCATCTCAACCGTCTTCTGTCTCTCTGTTTTATTCATTTAAAATGAACACTCAACAGGCAGAAAGTCCTCAGGGCATTAAAACAAGGAGGATAAAGTCAGAAAATGTAGAATGAAAGAAGTAAATCAGCCGTTATTAGAATTACACAGCCCTCTGTCAGATACACTTTGACTTGAATTCCTCCCTTGAGCAGGGGGTTGGGCTGGATGGCCTTTGAGGGCCCTCCTAATGTCTGCAGTTTGATATTAATACCAGAATGCTTGAATGTTAAAATAACATGTAGATCAACTGGTGTAAGATATATTAGAAAATTTGAAGGTTAAAGGACTAAAACGATGGGCGATTACGTTAAAGGAGCCTCGTGGTGGATGGGTTCAACGGTTGTGCCGCAGCCCAACCTGTGGTCACGATCCAGGTTCAAAGGCCAGGATCTTATCTTCTCTCTTTCAGAGGTCGGTAAAATTGAGTACCCAGGGGGGGGGGGGGAGAGGAGAGGGAATAAAGAGGGAATAAATTTTTTGCCTTGCATGGGTTACTGATTCCCATTCGGGGATGTTATTCTTGTTAGCCAACGCCCTAAGTTGGAATCAACTGGACCATCGTTACTTTTTTCTCCTTTAAAACAGAGGGATACCAATGTAACCAAAATAATAATAATAATAACAACAACAACAACAACAATAAAGATAAAAAGACCATGTTTTTGTTTATGGTGGCCTCCCACTATGTGGAAAAAGATACTAAAGGTCATTTCCTTTTTCATAAGAATGTAAGGAGATTCCTGTGTACAGAATCAGACCCTTCCTCCATCTTGCCCAGTAGAGGGAAGCTGACTGTCAGCCACAGCGTGGTCTCCAAGATAATTCAGGCAGGGCGATTTGGAGGCCTTTACTTCTCGTTAACTAGTGCACCGGAAATCTAGCGGTGGATCCTACTGGTGAGCATCAGGAAAAGATTTGCTGCTTTTCTCGATCTGCTCCTCATCGGTGACGCTCGACTCCAGGATGGCCACCGCAAACTGCTGCAGCAGTTTCAGGTCTGGGCCAGGACCGTCCCCCACGGCCTCCGCCCCTTCCCAAACGCAGCCGACTTTCACCGGCTGCAGGATGCGGAACCTCTTGCCCTTGGTGATCAGCTCATCCCATTCCTTGGCTTTCAGCTTCTGGCGCACCTTCTGGTTCTCGGGATCACACTCCTGGAAGGGGAGAGGGAGGCAAGATACATGATTGATACTGATGGCTCAGGTTATTCCTCCATGGAGAAGAATGGCCAGTTTGGGACCTCAGGGCTAGCATGATCTCCCCAATACAGACCATTCTTGGACCACCTGGCAATGGGGCCATTTCCGTATCAGCTTCAAGGTGCAGATGCTGACCTTGAAAGCCCAAAACAATTTGGGACCTCAGTACACGGCAGAACGCCACCTATCAAGAGGAATGGCCTGATCCTAACCTAGCATCTCAGGCGGGATGGCTGAGGATGCTTAAACTGAGAGGAAAAGAAAGAACTGGGCCTTCTTGGGGGTGGCTCCCCTGCTTTGGAATGAATCACCCCTGCTTTGGAATGAATGAAAATCCCCCTGGCCCCTTCTCTGGAAACATTTAAGAAATCTTTTAAAACTCTTCTAATTTTGGTAGGCTTTTCAAACCATTCCAGAAAGAGAGAATCACAGAGTAGAATCCCAGAATCACGGAACAGGGGGCCTCAAAGGCCATCAAGTCCAACCCCCTGCTCAAGGCAGGAATCCAAATCAGAGCAGATTTGATAGATGGTTTGCAGATACCCTGGGCCACCAGAAAGATAAACAAATGGGTTCTAGATCAAATCCAGCCTAAACTCTCTCTGGAGGCAAAAATATTGAAACTGAGGCTGTCCTATTTTGTCACATCCTAAGGAGGCAGATTTCTCTGGAAAAGGCAATCATGCTGGGAAGGGTGGAAGGCAGCAGGGTAAGAGGAGGACCAACCCCCGCTCAAGGCAGGAATCCAAACAAAGGCAGATTTGACAGATGGTGGTCTAAGGTCCTCTTGAAGGACTCCAGTGCTGGAGTGCTCACCACCTCTCAAGGCCATGGGTTCCACTGTCGTACTGCTCTAACAGTTGAGAAGTTTTTCCTTATATTCTGAAATCTGGCTTCCTGTTGCTTGAGCCCGTTCTGATGTGCCCTGTGCTCTGGGATGATGGAGAACAGATCCTGCTCCTCTTCTGTAGCAACCTTTCTAGTATTTCAAGAGTGTTCGCCTATCTCCCCTCGGGCTCCTTTTCTCAAGGCTGGGCATGTCCAGTTCTTTCTGTCTTTCCTCTGAGGGCTTGGTTTCCATTCCCCTGAGCATTTTGGTGGCCCTCCTCAGAACCTGCTCCAGTCTGTCGGCATCCTCAGAGGATCCAAATCAAATATGATTTTTGATGTCACAGAAGACAAAGCACCAACCTCTGCATGTGGTTGACAAATATCGACCACCGAGCTCAACTACCCAGCTCCTCCCAGGATGAGGAAAATCTCCTTATTGTGGCTGCGGCTTACCTCCGTCACACCTTCATCTTCTGAGAGGTACCCATGTGGGACAAAGAAGCCATCGTCATCGTCCTCCTCTTCTCCCCCATCTTCATCATCATCCTGACCAATGGAGACAAGAACAATGGTACTTCCTAAGCCTTGGGAAGAGAGCATTGCAAAATGCCAGAGAAGGGTTGCCAGATTTTTTGGAATGCCCCCCCATCCTGCCAAGAGGGTGGCACGCAAGTTCAGCCCTTGCCGTGCAAGGGGCGGCTCTTATTTATTTTCTCCATCATCTCTCTGCTTGTTGAAAGTGGAGAAGAAAAACAAAACCCAGGTTCTCCTAGATTTTCAGCATGCTGGGAACCGCAGTGCAGAATACCTGACCTACTGTGGAGGCTCACAACCTTATGGACAGCTTGCTATTTTTTTTCTCCCTACTTTATTTGTTTAAAATATGTTTATCCCACCTCTCTCCTTCAAAAGAACCCAAAAGGCAGCTTACAGAATTAAAAAGTCAGCATTTAAAAATTAAATCTCCTTAGAATGCGTAAGGGATCCCGAGTCTCCCCCCGGCCCCACGACACACCAGTGAAAAGCACTGGAAGGGGAGCATTTCCATTTATGCTCCTGGAAGCTTACAGGAGCAGCCGTTCTAAATCCTAAATTGTTTTCTCAAAACTTCCCACCAAACGTAATGGGTTCCAAAGTGGATTTCAGGGGGAGGGAGGAAGCTGGTGCGATCCTCGGAGGACCCTCGGGGAAGAAAACTGACTCTCACACCCCTGCTCGTTCTCCTCCTGGAAGAACCAAGGGGGGGCGTAGTTTATCCCAAAACAAAGGTTTTTCTCCCCCCCCCCCCCCGAACTTTGAGACGCCTTCCCTGCTACCAGACAACCCGGAAAATAAGTGAGAAATAGGAACCAAAGATCGGGAAACCTCTCTTGCATTTTGTCCACTGGAATCAATACAAAGGTGTGGTTTTTCATCTAGAAAAGCTCTGAGCGTCTGGGGACTCCCCTCCATCCTGAAGACAGTCAGTCAGAACCCAAACTCCTGTTCGGTGGCAGGCGGGGGGAAGAGCGGAGAGACACAGACCTACCCCTTCACTGTGGGACAGTGATTCTCCTGGTTCTTCCTCTTCCCACTCTTCATCACTCTCCACTTCGTAGTCCAGGAGCTTTGGAAAGGAAAGAGGAAGCAGCGTTTGGGCCAAAGAAGGGATTACAGAGTTATACAGAGCAAGTAAGAACCAGCAGCAACCCGGTGCCTGCAGTTCAGGGGCAGAGGCTAAAGGAAAACGTTGAAGAGAGAAAACCTGGGATCTCCTGTAAGCCAAGAGTGTGCTTTACCACTGAATGAAAAACCTCCCTATAAATAGAAATTAGCACCTCATTCCCCACACTTGTAAGTAACAATAACAACCTCAGAAGGGCAGAGCTGAGGGCCATCCAGTCCAGCCAAGGGCTGGAAGCTAAGCCCTATATAAGGAGGAAAGATGGAAAGAACTGGGCCTTTTTAGCCTTGAGAAAAAAAGATGGAGGGGAGACAGGAGAGCGCTTTTCAAAGACTTGGAAGAGGCTGTCCTGCAGAGGAGGGGCGAGATCTGTTCTCAATCCCCCCAGAGTGCAGGATATGTCAGAATGGACTCAAGTGATTTTGCCTGAATATCAGGAAAAAAACTTCCTGTTAGAGTAGTACGACAACGGGAATCCATGACCTCAAGGGGAGGGGGTGAGTGCTCCAGCGCTGGAGTCCTTCAAGAGAAAACTGGACCACCCTCTGTTGGATCTGCTCTGAATTGGATCCCTGCCTTGAGCAAGGGCAGGTTGGATTGGATGGCCTCATGATTCTATGAGCCTAAGGAGGCTCCGTGGGGGAATCGAACTCCCAGCCTCTGGCTCTGCAGCCAGAGGCCGAAACCTCTGAGCTCTCCAGCAGTTCTAAAGTACTCATTCACAAGAACTGAGTAAACAGGGAGCTTCTTTGTACCAAGGCAGGAAGACCACCCCCTCCCCGCCATTTTAACAACTTGTTTTCAAGGATTCACTAACTCCCGTCTGTACCCTGGAATGGAGGCCCTGGGGCGGGGGTCAGCTTTTGGCGTACCTCATCTTTCGACCAAGGGTTTCTCGGTTTGATCGCCAAGGTTTTCTTATTCCACGTGCCCCAGTAGGCGGGCCGGTGATTCTCGCAAAACTGTAGGAGTTTCATTCTGCCAAACTTCCTCCTCTCCGGCACGTCTCCCGCCTGGCTGCTGCTCACAATGACGACATCGCTGGGGAACAAAAAGACCCCCCGTCGGTCATTGAGGCTGCCCACAGGGGTCCCAAGAAAGCCAGAGAAAGACGCCGAGGACCTCCCTGGAAGCTTCAGGGGGCGGAACCTTTCTCCTCCTGATTTAAATTTTAAAAAGGTTCCTGGATAATGCATCAAAGATGGCAGCTCTAGACTGTGTCCCCAGTTAAGGCCTCTCAATTAAAATGAAACCAGAGCGATGGGGCAGTAAAAGCAAAATGGGGGCTGTATCCTTTGGAGCCGAGGAGGCAGGTGCCCCCCCCCCCAAAAAAAGAGGAGAGGAGGCCAAAGGAAAACCAACGACCACTTTTCTATTCTTTTAAGCCCACAAAACACAGGGGTGCCCATGAGAGGAGGGTTTCGAGAAGAGATGAACGCAGGACAAACAGGCAGCTCCCGACTGAGAGCGAGAACACCCTGGAACCTGTTTAGGGAACCAGAGACCGTCGGGCACAGCACTGAGTCCAGAGGAGTGCTCCTGGGCATGGGCAGAGTGCAATTTTCACCAGCCACCTGCAGCGCAACCCACCAGAGTTCTGGGGAAAACACTTCAAACAGGCCTGAACGTGAACACTAGATTTTTTTCAGGAAATAAGGAACGGAATGGCTGGTGTGTAGTCGTTTCCAGCTGCTGAAATGGAGAGGGATGAAGTTTGCAGTATTTCCTGATAGGAAGAGGGGGAATCAGACAAAGGGCTTTGCATCGCAGAAAATGTCACACAACCCCCCATAAGGTGATGATTTTCACAAGGACTGGCATCCCACTGGATTTAGGACACAAGATAATATGCCGAATGAAAAAGGTGGAAGGGGTTCTTCGAGGGTTCCTGTTTATTAATGAAACGACCTGCAATGGAAATATTTTTGTTCCTCTGTATTTGCAGGTAGAGTTAGGATAAGGCCGACATTTGTAAGCTTGGTCTTGCAAGCTAAAGTGTAATTTTGGTCTCGCTCCTGTGGCTACCTAGTTTGTGAAGAATCGTTTATTTATTCAAAACATTTTGACCCTGCCTTTCTCCTCAAAAGGACCCAAAGGTGGTTTCATCTCTGCCCTTTTTAATCCAACCATTCATTCGTTCCTTAAGACTTTTACACCACCCGGTTAGCGCAAAAAGCACTATTCTGGGGCCGTGAAAAATCAGACAAAAACACAGCAAAAATATAAGAGGTGTGCGCATGCACCCTCCACCACGCACAGGGCTCCTCCTCCTCCTCCATATACCCACAATAATAGTTTTCAGCCCCTTTGGTTCAAGTCATGACGGAACTCTGCGCAGGGGGGCTGAAAATTGGGAGGGAATGTTGCATGACTGTAAACTGAACTGTGACGACAGAATGAACACTGCAAAATAAAGAGGAACATCAAACAAACCAAAAACATCCGTCCATAGCTGGGCAGGCAGGAGAAGCAGGCAGATTCCTGTGAGGTTGCCATCAAAGGCCTCTAACTTCTCCCAAAGAGCGAGCTCACCTGTTGACGCCGGCTCCGTGGCTGGGGACGAGCGTGGGTCCCGATTTACATGGCCCTCGGCTCTTGAGTTCCTCCAGGAAGGAACTGGAGCAGCTCTGCGCTTGCAGCAGGCTGTCTAATTGCTCCAAGGCCTCCTGATCGATATCCACACGGCAGGAGGGAGCCAGGACCATGTTCTCCTTGATTTCAAAGGGAGCAAACTTCCCGCACCACCCAGCAAGAATCTGAAATGGAGAAGGAGAGGAATCATGGCAGGTTTTTTAGGCTTATTTTTCAGCTTCACTTCCAAACAAATGCATCCATCCGTCCGTCCCGTTTCTAGACTGTCCCCCTGACTTGAGAGGTCACTTTGGGTAGCTCACAGCAGTCAAAGTCACATAAAATAACACAAAAGCCATCAAAAGGGGCAGTCAAAATTAAACTAAGTTGATTCAACATTTTAAAACAGGCAGCGCTTAAATATGCTAGGTGGATGCTCTCAGTGGCTCCTTCAGATGGTGTGTTTTGAAAAACTTGCCAAAATAAAAAGGGTTTCGAGAGATTTCTTAAGTCACCAAGGAGGGGGCCATGTGGATTTCGGGTGGTAGCTCGCCCCTGAGGCAAGGGAGCTACCCCCCCTCAATCATCCAGATGTACGAGTCGGACAAGCAGTAGGGAGAAGTTGTTCTGCCATATACTGAAGTCCCAAATCATTTGGAGCTTTCTCTTCTGGGCAGAACACAAAGTGAAGTTTTGGCTTTGAAACCTCCAAAAAGCATTTTTCCATAAATCCCAGCCAGGAGGACCAGCTAGCCAAGCCAGGAATTCTGAGAGTTGTAGTCCAATAAAGCTCAAAGGCAGCCCAGGGTCAAGGAGAACAAACCCAAAGGAATGATCTCCAGGCGATTTAACTGCGTCGTCATTAAAACCATGCCAAGACCAATCCTGAAGGGATTCCCCAGTTATCTACTCCACATTTTTCTTTACGGAGGTCCACTAGAGTCCTAACCTAATCCTATTTTGGAGTCTGGTTTTTGGTGATAGGTAACAGAGTCTGGGATGACACAGCCAAACCTGAAATATTTCAGTAGGATTTCCTGAGGGTTTTTTTTAAAGACCCTTGCCTTGGAAGGCAGGCAGGATAGAAACACAATGAATAGTGTGCTGATACAACAATCACATAACTGGCAATGAAGAAATAAACAAGAGTTACCTTGGGAGCAGGCTGCGTCTTTGGTTTCTGGAAGAATCTGGTGATTTCTGCCTTTTCTGCTTTGATGCGCTAGAATCAGAAGATGGAAACATGAGCAAAATTAAATGTCATTATTTTGTTAGTTAAGAACTCTTTTTTTTGGTAATATAGTGCTTCCTTCGCAATCACCAACTTCTTCTCACTAGATCTACTTAAGAAAGCCACTAGCCATTCTAAGCGTAGTGCTTCCTTTGCAATCACCAACTTCTTCTCATTAGATCTACTTAAGAAAGTCACTAGCCATTCTAAGTGCTGGACTGAAAGCAGAAATCTAGCTGGGCCCGTTTCCAGGATCACATGGACTGAAAGCAGAAATCTAGCTGGGCCCCCGTTTCCGGGATCACAAAGCCAGATTTCGGCCGAATATCAGGGGGAAAAACTTCTTAACAGTTAGAGCAATACGATAACGAAACCCATGACCTCGGGAAGTAGCAGCGCTCCAATGCTGGAGGCCTTCAAGGGGAAACCGGACAACTGTCTTCTCAGATCTGCTTTGATTTGGATTCCTGCCTTGAGCAGGTGATTGGACTGGATGGCCTGAAGAGCTCCCCCCTTCATGATTCTAGGATTCTGTTACTTGACAGATACTAATACAAAGGGAAAGCGAAAAGAGATGGCACAGGAGAGCAAGAATGGGAGAAGCTGTTCCATCTCTGAACACTGAAGCAGGTCAGGCTGGCCCTTCTCTTATTGGGATGTTCTTTAAGGGGCTTAGTGGGGAGCAGCAGCCCCTGAAAAAACCTGAGCCCTCCCACACACTTCTCATGGGTCCTGCAGTCCCAGCGTGGCAACTTAAAAAGAGTAAACAGGATCACAGAAAGAAGGGAGTAGGTGGGAAAAAATTACCTTTTCTTCCTCTTTCAACCGCTTCTCCTCTTCTTTCTTTCTCTTCTCTTCTAACTTTGCCCTTTAAAATAAAGAAGTCTACTTTCAGGAGGAGAGAAAAATCTACAGGCAGCAATGCCGCAGCGCTCAAGCACAACAAATGCATGCAGCCCCCACCGGTCCCGTATTCTGGCTTTGAAAAGTGAAAGCTCTTGTCCAACATGGTACCCCAAAGGCTCAGTCAAAGGGCCCGGTGCTGCTCTTCAACATTTTTATTAATGACTTGGATGAGGGAGGGCAGGGAATGGCTTGTCAAATTTGCAGATTTCACAGAATCAGTTGGAATATCTAATACCGTGGAAGCATGCAGCCCCCACCGGTCCCGTATTCTGGCTTTGAAAAGTGAAAGCTCTTGTCCAACATGGTACCCCAAAGGCTCAGTCAAAGGGCCCGGTGCTGCTCTTCAACATTTTTATTAATGACTTGGATGAGGGAGGGCAGGGAATGGCTTGTCAAATTTGCAGATTTCACAGAATCAGTTGGAATATCTAATACCGTGGAAGCCAGAAACAACATTCAAAATGACCTTGATAGGATGGAGCACTGGGTCGAAAGTAACAGAATTATTAATGACTTGGATGAGGGAGGGCAGGAAATGGTGTGTCAAATTTACAGATTTCACAGAATCAGTTGGAATAGCTAATACCGTGGAAGCCAGAAACAAAATTCAAAATGACCTTGATAGGATGGAGCACTGGGTCGAAAGTAACAGAATGAAACTCAGCAGGGATCAGTGCAAAGTCCTGCACCTCGGAAAAAGAAACCAATTGTACAGTTCCAAGATGGGGGAGACCCAGCTCAGCAAAACGATGAGCAAGAAGGATCTTGGAATTGTCGTAGATCGCAAGCTAAATATGAGCCAACAGTGTGATGTGGCTACAAAAAAGGCCAATGCTATTTTAGGCTGCATTAATAGTATAGTTTCCAAATTCTGCGAGGTGCTGGTCCCCCTCTATTCAGCACTTCACCACACATCAAGAAGTGTCTTCACCACACTTCAAGAAGGATGCTAAGAAATTGGAACAAGTTCAGAGGAGGGCGACAAGCATGACCAGGGGGCTGGAGACCAAGCCCTATGAGGAAAAGCTGAAAGAATTGGGCCTGTTTAGCCTGGAGAAAAGAAGACTGAGGGGTGATAGGACAGCACTTTTCAAATATTTGAAAGGCTGTCATACAGAGGAAGGGCAGGATCTGTTCTCAGTCATCCCAGAGTGCATCAAGGAAAACCTCCTAAGTGTTAGAGCAGTACGACAGTGAAACCAGTTATCTAAGGAGTTGGTGAGTGCTCCAACACTGGAGGCATTCAAGAAAAACTTAGATAATCACCTGGCAGATATGCTTTGATTGTATTCCTGCGTTAAGCAGGGGGATGGAGTTAATGGCCTTGTAGGTCCCCTTCCAATTTAACTTTTCTATGATTCTATGAACAACCTGCTTAGCACGGGAATCATGCAGGAAGTAGGAGTGTCCTATATTATGGAATACAGCCCTCTCTTGAGAGCTCTCTATGGGCAACAAGGATGATCCCAGGATAGAAACCAAACCCTCAGAGGAAAGACAGGAAGAACTGGGCCTGTTCAGGCTTGAGAAAAGAAGACGGAGGGGAGAGAAGAGAGCCCTTTTCGAAGACTTGAAAGTTCGTCCTAGAGGAGGGACCGGATCACTTCATGATCATCCAAGCGTGCAGGACATGTCGTCATGAACTCAAGCTAAAAGAATGCAGATTTTGGCTGATTATCAGGAAAAAACTTCTTAACTGTTAGAGTAGTACGACAGGAGGTGGGGAGAACTCCAATGCCGCAGGCCTTCAAGAAAAAACTGAACTACCCTCGGTTCAATCTGCTTGGATTTGGCTTCCTGCCCTGAGCTGGGGGCCAAACTCAATGGCCTCAGAGGGGGCCCCCCTTCCAACTCCATGATTCTCTGATGGGAAGAGTCGCCCTGCCATGACGCCAGATTCAAGACCAAGAACCCTAAGGGGGGGGAAGCAGCGCAGGGGGCCTTGAGATGGCCCGTTTGGGGCTGCCGTTTGACAAACAGGTGGGCAAATTAAACAAGCTGGGCTCACCCCCCACACGGAAGGGGCCGGTGTAGCCGGATACACTTAAAAACAAAGGAAGCAAGATGCGGGAACACCTCCAGCCCCCGCTGGGAGCAACAACGAGAACTCTCAAAGGCGCCAAATCAGAAGGGGATCTGTGCAAGGACTTACTCCAGAGCCTCTTGCCTCTCCTTCCGCTTCTCCTCCTTTGCTCGTAGCTTCTCGGCTTTTTCCTTTTCCTCTTTCTCTTTCTTCTCTCTCCTCTCTTTCTCCTTCAATTCCTTCTCCTCTTCCTTTTTCCTCTTTGCCTCCTCCCGGGCTCGCTCTTTGGCCGCCTTTGCCTCCTCTTTCAGCCTTTCTTTCTCCTCTCGCTCGGCTTGCTGCTTTGGAACATTAACATAGATTACCGCCTTTGTCTATTAAACCGTATTTTTTAAAAAATAGCTTATCCCTCCAGCCCAGCAACATCTGAAGGGCCATAAATCGCCCTCAGGTGGCACAAAACATTCTCTCATTCAGTTAGTATTGTTGGTAGGCTGCCTTTCTCCCAGAGTTAAAATAAGCAGAATTAAAAACACAATAAATTAGCATTAAAAAGAAATTAATTACAGTCTCAGAACAACAGAGCAGTGGATCATCAAGTCCACTGAGGGGGAACTGAACTCCCAAACTATGGCTCTGCAGCCAGAGACCTATGCCAGTGAGCTTTCCAGTAGTTATAATAGCAACTGAAAATGATTAAAAAAACAAACAGAATGACCTAAAAACCATCATGCAAGACCCCATTAATGACCAGGATGCAAGACCCCTGTCTGAAAAAGTGGGCCTTCAGCTGTCAGCAAAATAGGATGGATTTGATTCAAATCAGATTTAATTTTTTTATTAAAAAGTCAGATTTCTTGGTTTAAATCAAAAAAGTCATTTTAAAATTTCAAATAGATTTTTTTTTTAAAAAATCATTGATTTCAAAAGAGAGGGGGGCTAACCTAACCTCCTGAGGGAAAGCATTCCACAATCTGGGAGCTACCCTCTCTCGTGTCCCCTTCAAGTGTACCTGGGCTGACCTGAAGACCTCTTCTGACCACCTTAAGGTGAGATTCAGAAAAGGTCCAGAAAAACAACAAATGGAACATCCACTGAAATCTAGGTCAAAGGGGGGGGACTGTACTCCTAGAGGGTAGAAAATATAACATTCTTTATTTCTACATACATACATATAAACCTTTACAATGTACTGACTACTGTGGCACATAAAATCTAATTAAAACAGGTAACTACCTTAAAACAATTAAAACCAATAAAGCCAATAAAACCCAGTATAAGAATATTGTCATAACGTAAGACGTCAATCCACTGTAGTCAGCATATATGTGGCATTATGATCCCTGACAAATCGAAGCCTCAGCTTCTTAGCTGCTAGTGCAAATTGTGCTGCAGCATATGTAATGTGCAACTGTGTATCAGCAAGCAATCCTACTACTGTGGTGGTACAGTTAAAATACATCGGAATGATGGGTGACAGTGACAGAAATCTTTCTCTAGGATTTTTGTAGAGAGAACCGTAAGTAATGAGTTAGATCCTCAATCTGGTTGCAGCCAAAGTCACATTTTCGTTCCTCAACTGGCCTTCCTTTATATCTCCCTTCGAGGTATGCTGAGGCCATCTATCCAAATCTAAGTTCTGTAAATGCTCTGCGAATCTGGGGAAAAATCAATGACTCAAAATATTTTCGTTGTGCATAATTCACCTGAAGTTGGAGATACCAGGTAGAAAAACGGGACCCAACAAGGTCAAAGATCCAGTCCCTAAGGTTGTGAGAGCTTAAACTAGGGAATGTTTCCATCAGAGTTCTTAAGGTAGCGATAGCTTAAACTAAGGAACTTTTCCATCCAAAGGTTGTGGGCCTTTAATTTTTGGTGACATTGCTGTGCCCATCCACCAAACTTTAGTTGTTCTAACCAGCAGCACTTTGTCAGGGAGGAGTTCTCCAAACTGTTCAGTCTACTATGCCAATATCTAAGATAAGCCGGATTGATTCTAGCGGCAATTGAGGGTAGGCCTAACTCAGCTCTCAGGTGAGCCAAAGGAGTTCCTGGGGGGGGGGAGCTCCAGTATCAGCCTCATGAATTTGTTCTGCAGGATTTCTAGTCTGGGCTTGACTGCCTCTCCCCATAGTTCTGTCCTGTAGTGCATTTGTGCCAGAATTTTGACAACGAACACCACATTCTCCATAGTTCTGTCCCGTAGAGCATTTGTGCCAGAATTTTGACAACAAACACCACATTCCTTATTTCAGTGTAAAATGCCCAACACAAGTGATTTAACGGAGCTAGTGACAAATGGAAACGGCGAATTAGAATTGAATAGACACATGCTTAAAGAACGTTGATCGGCTGAAACACATTGGGCATTTTACACAGAATTAAATATTATATTTTCTGCAACCTGGACTACAATTCCACCCTCCTTTTGAGCCATATCCTTGGTCCGCACTATTCAGAATGGTCTGCCCGTCACTCAGCAGCGTTTTAAACACTGCCCAGCCCTGGTGACTTGATGTCACATAACAACCCACGGGCAAGGATGCTGGGAATGGAGTTTAGAACCAGATGCATTGAAAACAGACGAGTTAACATTGAGTCTCAAGGTGGTCCCCCAGTAACTAGATCCCAAATTTTCATGTGCCATTTGGACCCTCAGAAGCCTAGGCAACACGTCCTGCACTAGCTCCCCCTTCCCGTCCAGTCTTAAGGGAAGCCCTATGGTACAGCATATTACAGCAGTCCAGTCCGGAGGTTAGCAAGACCAAAACCACACTTGTCAAGGAACACAAAACACCAAAGCTGGTAAAAACAACTCCGAGCCACTGATGTCAAAGCACTTCACAGGAGCTGCCGAGTGCGTGAAAAGCTCTCTTACCCTCTGCAATTTCAGCTTCTCCTTCTCTTCAGAACTCCGCTGGATTTTCTGAGCGGTCTGCATTGAAAAAGACAAGAGAAGCGTCTAGAACAGCAGCCAAATGAAAGCAAGAGAGGGTCCCCTCCCCCGGTCCACCGAGGATTACTTGCTGAAGGGCCGTTACAGAATCTGGGCACAGTGCTGCATGAAGGATGGTTTCTCCCCCGCCCCAGCCGACTCCTCCATCTCAGGCATCAAGCAGAAGAAACGCACGCGTCTTTGAGGATGCACCAACTCGGAGAACCAACGGGCGTGGAAAAGGAGTGGAGGAACTCATTAATTTTCCCAAGCTCAAAAGGTGGACACCCAGGAGTGGCAGCAGCCATTTGTCTCACATAAATGGACTCTTACAAAAAAGATAGCCATGAATCATACTCTTGCCAAGCCAAGCTGAAGCAGGATTTTAAAAAAACTGAACAAGAGGGATGGCTGATTTTGGTCATTCAGTTATTATGACATTCACTGCACACCAGAGTGGTGTAACGATTACACTGGGTTCAAATCTCCCTTCAACTATCAAATTTGTACACTCCTAAGGCTGACGTTACATCACAGCTGTGAGGATATAAACAGAAGAGGAAACCCTTGGAAAGACAAGACATAAATGCCCCAGAGAGGGAAATATCCCGTGGTTTTGCCTAGAGGCCCTCTGAGGAAATTAACTTCCCAGGCTTGCCTGCAGCTTGGTCTCTTAGGCAGGCGAGGCAATTTATGTCACTGAATGCCTGGAGAGTATACTGCAGACTGTAAACAGATTGTAACCAATTAAAAACAAAGGCTGAGTTGCAAACATGTAGCATCCAAGTTTCATATTACAGTTTATAAGGGAGAGATACATAGACACGCAGTGATTAAGAAAAATACATTGTAAGAATAAAGCCCATCTGTATGACTTCCTAGTTATGTTATCATCATCATGACGCGCCATTAAATTGATTCTGACTTAAAGAAACCCTTTCCTGGGTTTTCTAGGTAGAAAACGCTCAGAAGTGGTTTCCCCTTCGAGGGGAAGGGGACCTCGAGGCAAAATCCGGAGCTGGAGTCCTGAAGGCAGCATGTGTCGCTCTGCCAACTCCTGCAACATTGCTGGAACCAGTTGTATTGGCTCTTGCCTTTCCACTGGACCATTTCAGCAATGTGGAGAGGGGGGATCTGCTGCTTGGGTAACAGCCTAGCCTCCATATTACCTTACCCGGGCTTCATGCTCTCGAGAGGACACTCCTTGATTCAGAGCATGTTACCATAGTCTCTCGAGACTGAAGGATGCCTGTGGTTTCCCCTTCCCGTCTTCTGGGACTCTGCAGCTGGCCCAAGGCCACCATAGGCTGACTCTACTTGCTGGAAACCCCATGGAGGAATTGAACTCCCAACCTCTAGTTCCACAGCTGGGGACCAACTCACTCAGCTATCTAGCCAGCTAGTTACATGCTGGGGCCCTTTATTTTCTCCACTTCTCCAGCTCTAAAATAAGAGTTCCTCTTCCTGCAAGTCCATATTGCCTTTTAATGATGTGAACCGTCTTGGGTCCTTTTTAAGGAGAAAGAAGGGGTAAAAGTATTTTAAATTAGTAAATGAATTCAATGCAAGCATTCTTTTTTATACACGAGGGTGCGGATATCTCCATTTTAGGCTGCTGGCAAAACTAAGACAAGTGTACAAAAAAAAAAGTGGCAGGCTACAGCTTCACTGAGTAGATTTGTGACAATTTAAGTGAAGCATTTTACACCTTATAGGTATATGGTAGTACCCCTTTATCGGTGAGAATTCTTATATCCACTGCCAGAAAATACTAAACTTAAACAATGAGGGTATATTTACAAATAGAGAGCTTTTCCTACATCTGCGGTTTCCAGTATCTGGGGGGGGGGGAAGAGAACGGGACTTGGAACTGATCCCCCCCGGCCCTCCTGTACCAGATGGTCTTGTTACACAAAAAGCAATTTTATATTCTTAGACTAGCGACGCTCCGATTCAAAGCGCTGTTTCTATTTCAGCTCAGGCCCTCCCCCTTCAACAACCACTCCCCTCATTTCCCCGCATATCAAAATATACAAATCTTTACACACACTTCACATGGCTAGTAAAGCATTTTATAGGCTGGGAAGACCCATGTTCAAGGCTAGTCGAGAGAGTAGCATGAGAATCTGCTAGCTCACAGACCATGGCTTGGGACTTCATCGGTGCATTACATGAAGCCCCCCCTCCATGAAAAGCTAGAGCAAAGGAGACTTGTTAAGTCTCTAAGGTACCACCGGCCTCTGTTTGCTTTTCTTTTTCTCCAAAGAGACTCTGCATTTTTCCAAAAAAGACTTGAAATAGGCTCTGAAGCAGAAACTGAGGCAGGAAGCAGTGGGAAGCCAACTTGCAAAAGGGAGGGCCAGCGTCTCCCAGGGATGAGCAAGGGAGCAGCAAAGGCACCTCTACAGAGGAGCAGCTTTGGTCTCCTGGGGGGGTTCCCCACCCCCTGCAACCCACACTGACCTTTCGAGCAGGGGTTGAGGCCGCTAAGGGACTGGCGTCCTCCTTACACTCATGTGCGGTCAGTGGCTCCGGGGAGCTGGTGAGAGACAGAGAGCTGAGCGACGAATTCGTGCATGCCATGTCCTCTGCAGGACAAGACGCGATGGTCTCATTTCCCGAGGCCACACTTCTCTCCGAAAGCGGGGTCTGGGGAGACCGGGACGTCATTATATCCTCCAGGACAATGACGGGCATCTTTTTTTCAAATATGATGTTCTTGAGTTTGCCATTCTTTGTGCCTGCAGCCTCTGTCTCGACTGGGGGGGCTGGCGACAACTCATCCTCATCAGTGGCAATAGGGTCAATTTCTGTTTGAGTGTTACACACGGGCTTCTGCAAATCAGCCTGGTTTTCCGTTTTTCCGGGCTCGTTCTCCACATGTATCGGTACGTGATCTGGTTTGCCCTGCTCGACTTTATTGCTCAGTCTGTGACAGGTATCCTCTGTCAAGTCTATTACAAGCAAGGGCTGGTTTGTGTTACTCCTTGAGCGTTTCTGCACAAAGCTATCTAACGGGCCCTTGCCATTCACAAGTTTGGAAGCAAATGGCATTTCAGTCTCCACCTGACTGTTGTTCTCCACATTGTCCAGTAATGGATACGACAAACCAGAGCAAGGGGTGTTTTGGTCGGGGAAATTTCCAGCATTCCTGGCTTTCTTGATGTCTGGAGTCACATCCGGCTTTTCCTTTGGTACAGGATTTAAGCGCTTGAAAGGAAGGCGAGCTGAAACAGTGAAAATGAAGAAGGTGGAGGTTGGTAGCTCACCATTTTGAACCATATTGAAATATTCAATAAAAAGCGTTGCTACCTACATAGCCCATGTATACTCTCAATTAAATACTTGTGAGAAGAAATGTATGTATTAATTTAATTGACTTATAGACCATCCCACTATGGCTATGCAGCAATGAACGAACCACAATACAATTAAAATATTTAACCAAATACAGTGGTGCCTCGCATAATGAGCGCAACGTTTAACGACAAATTTGCATAGCGATCCGTTTTTTGGGCTCGCTAATGCAATCGCATACCGATGGTTCCAATGGGAAAAAATCACTTTGCGGCGATCGGTAAGCATTTTGCTTACCGATATTCGCATTGCGATGTCGGGGGAACAGTTGTTCGGCGGTTCCAAAATGGCCACCGGAAGACCCAAAATGGCCGCACGCAGCGTTTTCGCGCCCTGCCCTCACTTACTGAGGGCGCGAAAATGCCTGCGCTATGGAGGAACATCGCTGAACGGTGAGTTTGGGGCCCATTGGAATGCATTAAACGAAGTTTAATGCGTTCTAATGTGTTCCAATGGGTTTTTCTATTCCGTTTAGCGATGTTTCCGAATAGCGATGGTTAATCTGGAATGGATTAACCTCACTATGCGGGGCACCACTGTAATACAGAAAAAAGCTGCTTGTTATGTAACTAGCCCCATAAAAAGATACATCCATGTTTGCTAAATAAAACGAATCTGTAAAAAAGCCACCTTAGGGCTACCCATACCTGTGACAGCATGAAGGAGCCACCAAGACCTTGGAAGAGAGCCCAGAAATCCAGACAGAGGAATCACGAGGTAAGCTTAAGCTACTTACTTTACCTCATGAGGCTGTGCTGAGGTCATGTCTGCCACGGAGAAACCACCCGAGGGTCCTCATGTGAAGGTGTATAACGACAACACAGGCAACATAAAACAACACTCTCTTATCTTTTGCTAGAAACTGAGGCCACCCATGTAACTGAAAGAGTATTTGTGCATCCGTCGTTAGTCACGCCCTAAGAGGACTCACTGTAACTGTGTCATGCCATATAAAATGACACTTGTAAAGTTGGTCTCATCGGTCCTTCAGTCTCCAAATTTCACTGGAGGCCCACAGGTCCTTTCAAAGTCTTCAGATGTTCCAACTATGGGGTTTGACTGAACCATTCCTATAAAAATTTACAAAGCCAGTAGGAAAAAAAATAGCCTGTTTCCCATCCTAGCATATCTTCTGATTTGTCTGGAATGTGAAGGACAGCCTGAACCCCTGCAAAAATTCAGCAAGCTCATAGCCTTTGGGAAATGGAAGTTGGTTTTTTTTTGGGGGGGAGGAACTTTTTTTCTTTTTTAAGTGCAAAACAAGTTACCTTGTATTAGTTTCCTAGCTGGAACGGCTGACTTGTCTCGACACTCCATAGCTGCTGACAGAAGATGCAAGCAATTTATTTATGTTTTTTTTTATTTCTTAGATGTATATACTACCCCGTTCATACAATGCAGAATTCTGGGTGGTTTACAATAATAAAATCTTCGCCCCCTGACTTCCCTTCCCTCAGCCCCCTAAGTCGTAACAGTCATGCTACTACTCCTGCCTGCCCCAGATGACAGGAAGGGTCCCTAATGCTGCTCTCCCACACCTCAGCCCCCTCTCCGGCCTGACTGCCACCCCTCTGTGCCTCAGGATCGCACCCCAGGGGGAATTCATACCACTAATAACAGTAAAAACAGCAACAGCAGCAACCACAACAACAGTCACAATAACACCCCTTTTCTGCTTTAGATCCTCCCCAACAGGAACAAGTCCTCTTTTTTTGGGGGGGGGGGTGTCCCACCAAGTACTGTAACAACCGGTAGGAGTAACCATCGCTGCCATAAAACCCTCCTTTTCTTTTAGCCTCACCTGAGAGGAGCAGGGCATGCCCTCGGGTGCTTCCACCTCCCAGGAACAGTACTGTAGTAATGTAGTAATGCTAGCATTTATTACTGCTGCTGCTCCTCCTCTCTTTGCTCTCGCTATCAGTACTAGTGATGGCCGGAGTACCCTTCTCTACCTCGGCCTCCCTCCCCCTCCCCGTATAGTAATAGTACTCCTGAGTATTCTTCTCTGTTCCCCCCTCCCAGCTCTGTCTTTTTCTCTCTCTTTTCTGGTTTCTCATTGTTCTTTTCGGCTTCGCCTGCCATGGACTCTCACCGCCATCATCCCTACTAGGGCTGTCATTCTTATGACTAATTATTACGACTGTTATTATCCTGCCTTTCTCCTTAAAAAGAACCCAAGGCAGTTATTATTACTGTTGTTGTTGTTGTATCACCATCATCATCTTCCTGACTTTCTCCTTAAAAAGAACCCAAGGCAGTTATTATAACTGTTGTTGTATCATCATCATCCTGCCTTTCTCCTTAAAAAGAACCCAAGGCGGCCATTATCTCTGTCACTGGTACTACTACCACTACGATGATGATGATGATGACTGCTGCTGCTCTTCGTTTGGATCTTCCCCCCCTTCCGTCTCAAGAGTCACCGCAGGAATAGGAGGGGGGCGCTTTCCGTTCCCCTTCGGCCTCCCAATTAACCGTTAATTAAGACCCCTCCCCTCCCCCTTCTCCCTCACCTGCCGAGAAACCACCGCCACACACACCCCCTCCGGAAAAAGGAAAAAAAACAAGCAAAGGCGGGAAAAGGAAGAGAAGGAGCCAAAAAGGCCTTCGCCTTTCCTCGCCGACCGGCCTGAGGGAGTGGGACATCGACCCTCCGCCCTGCGTTTATTTTTATTTATATATTTTTTTTACCTCAGAAATCTCCTTCGGCGGGAGCAGCGCGCGCAACAGCGACCACCCCGCTCGGCATCCTCGCCACCGGCCCGCGCTTCGCCTTCGGCCTTGGCCCTTCTCGCTTTCCGTCCCTCCTTTCCTTCCTTTCCTGCCCTTGTATTTGGCGGGATCTCGGGCCACCTTCGCGCCCGGGCGCCCTGATTGGGCGGGAGGCCGCGCCCACGTGACACCCCTCTGTGGGCGAGGCCTGAAGTTGGGGCGGGGCAAAAACAACAACCAAAAAAAGAAACCAGCTCCCGCCCTCGCCCGCTCTTCTCGCGAGAATTGGACGGCGTGAGGAAAGAATTCCGAAGGGCGGCTCTTATTCTTCAGAAAAGGCATGGTTATGACGTCAAAATAAAATGGATATATTTCTCCAACTGGCTCCTCTTCTTATTTTTGGGGGGTAAAGCTCATCCACAAGGCAGGGATTCCCGCCTGGGAAATAATTTTTTGGAAGTGTTACTATCTCTATGTTCTCCCCACCTAGGACGTTTCTGCCTTTTCATTGGCTAAAAATGAGTAGGGGCGGTGCCATTTTTATTGGTTAGTCCAGCTGTCTGTACTGATAATTGGTGGCAGAACAAGGCGCCATAGACTTATAACTGTAGACTGATCAATGATATGAGACTTATACAAAGTAACGCAAAGGGTGATTAATAACCTGAGTGTCAAGTTAGTAACGAAGGTGCCATTAATGCTCGGTTTAGCAAAGGGATTTAGCCATCATACAGATAACCAATTATTTTGCAGTAATTAAATTGTTTTGTAGCAGGATTCCATGCATCTCTATTGAAATATAAAATAAATTTACATAATGTAAATATGTATAAATATATTCTACCCAATATTTTACACACATGTATGTGTAAATAAATGTCCATTTATGTTCAGCTCTCACATAATAATGTAGCGGTATATATAATATATGCTTGTATATACACACGTATATGTAGGCGTGTATATCTGCTAATCAATCTACACACTGTGTATGTGTACGTTTTTGTAAAATTTTGTGCACAATTATACTTATATAAACAAATACAGACACATACAGTATATTTGCATATGCATAAAAATCTTTGTATATATACATACATATTTTATATATGTATTTATGTGTGTGTGTTTGTGTATGTATACACATATACGTATACGCACACAAATAAATATATATAAAATACCACTATACAGTATATTGTTATGTTAATGATAAACAGCCAGAATTTTACACATTTGGAGTTCCCAGGGCCCTGGAATGCCAACAGGGGGCGCTCTGGCATCCCTCTCCATGCTCTCCCTGTTCCTAGAAGGAAAGTCGGGGCTTCGGTGGAGGTCCAAGCGGGCGCTCTATCCCCCCTCCATATCTATGGCTGGGATCGTGGAAAGCCGGACCTTCTTCTCCGCCTCCGTTGGAGAGCGGCTCTCCTGCCGCGAGCGAAGCGAGATCCCTCCGCCGGAGGGCCCCGAATGCGCCTGCGCGCCGCAAAAGAGGGCGGAAGTGACCCGCAGAGAGGAGCTGTGCAACATCCTGAGGGGGACGTGGAGAGCGAGCGGGGCTGAGCCTTGGCGGTTGTCTTCTGTTCTTCTCTTTTTCCCCCTCTGTTTTTTTCATTCCCCCCTATTGGTTCTCTCATTCTCTCTTGGGCCTACTTTGTGTGTCCTTCCGCCGCCTGTCAATCAAACGTCTCGTCCTCCTGTCTGTCTGTCCACCCATCTCAATCTTCTCTCCAAAACATTAATTACCCCCTTTTTTCTGCCAGTCCGGCCTCCCCTCACTCTCTCAAGGGATACCATTCCCTCCTCTCCTCCTCTTCTGCCCCCCCAATCTGTTTTGCCTATTGAACCTCACTGAGGACTAGCCCCTTGGCTAGCCTTTTAAAAGGCATTGCTTTAATTACCCCTGGATTTGGGCTGCTCAGGGTTGGGGGGCCTGCCTTTCTAGACCCCCCCTCCCAAACTCCCTAAGTGGCCTGTTCTTTAAAACTGAATAAGGACCCATCCCCGCCTTTCAATATATAGGATCTTCATCCGGAGATTTTTCCAGGGTTGCCTTGGTTGCTTTATCTTTTGGGGTGGGTCAGAGGGAGTGAAGTGTAATTATTACCTCACCCTTGGCCATTGAAAAAAGCTGTTTCGTGCTTATGTGAAAAAGGGGGATTTTTGCCCCTCTGCCTTTTTTTCTGCAGGAAGGTGTAAGGGTGTCTCTTTATCTGCCCCTCTCCTGCTTAACTCAAAACACCCACCTGTCTTCCTCCTCCTCCCTCTCTCTTAACAAAGCTGCTCTGGTTTTCTCTCCGAACCTTCTCCCGGTGCCTCTGTTTTGCCCTCTTCTCACTTCTCCGGATTGCAAAAACTGGAACACCCCCCACACCCTCTGTCCACCCCCCCACCCCTGAAACCTGGTCTGTGTTGTTCTGTCCCTGCAAGAGGTCCCATTGGGGAATTCTGGGCGGCCGGTCTTGCTCTTTGCTTGTCTTCTGGTTTTGTTTAGTTTTTTCTCTCCCACCCGTTTCCCCGTCTCTGTGATCTGGTTCCAGACGCAAGGCATCATGTCGGTGGCAGGACTCAAAAAGCAGTTCTACAAAGCCAGCCAGGTGAGAAAAACAAATCAATCTATCGATCTGTCTATCTGTTGATCTATCTATTCCTTCTTTCCTTTTTATCAATTCTTTCCCTCTGTCCTGCCTTCTTGCCTATCTATCTATCTATCTATCTATCTATCTATCTATCTATCTATCTATCTATCTATCTATCTATCTATCTATCTATCTATCTATCTATCTATCTATCTATCTATCTATCTATCTATCTATCTATTCAGTGTATTACTAAATATAATTGCCAGGTTTTCTCTTTTTCTGTTGTGGGGGTTGCCATGTTTCCGCGTGCCTCTGCTCTGAGTTGGATGGTAATTATATGCTGCAGTACTAGAGCCAGAAGGGATTTATGGAGTTCCTGGCGTGCCACCCTTGACAGAGATGTAAAACCACCATCCATCTGTCTTGTTTGATGAACAGAACTGATTTTTTTCTCCTTTTAATATCGGACAGATTGTGTTTTTTTGAGATATCATGATCTTGTTCGGAGAAGCGAGTCAAGGGAGACTTTTTAACTTGGAAACTAGGATCGTTCTGTAGCTTCTTGGAGTGGTTGTTTTTTTGGGGGGAGAGAAGTATTAATAATGACATTTCTGACCCACCATTGGTGCCGTGAGCAACAAGGAAGCAAGGCTTGGCTGATTTTCTTTTGCCTGTACAACAACCCTGTAAGGCAGGTTGCGTTGAGAGAGAAGGGGGAGGAGACTGGAGGTGGCGATGGTTCAAGAGTGCCCAAGAGCGGATTTGCAGGTAGCGTTTCTGGTCCCCAAGGGACTGCTGGAGAGCTCAGGGGTGGAGGTCTCCGGCTGTGGGATCCAAAGGTTGGGAGTTCGAATCTCCCACGGGGCCTCTGTGACAGGGGCTGGACTAGATGATCCTTAGGAATCCCTTCCAGCTCTGCCGTTCTAAGTGTATCATTAAAGGACTAACTGGGTAGCTCAATGGTGGAGTTCTCTGGCAATGGAGCCATAGGTTGGGAGTTCGAATCCACACCTTGAAAGAATCTGGCTTTGATGACCTTTCAGCTCTGCCATTCTAAGAGGAGGAGGAGGAGGATGAAATGAGTGGGTGACAAGCCAGAACTGTTTGAGTGAACTTCGATTCACTTTGATTGTCCTTCCTCGTAGGCATGTTGTTGTGTGGATTATGATGATGATGATAATAGTTGTTTTCATTATTATTATTATTATTATTATTATTATTATTATTATTATTGGAGGAAATATAGGATATAGGCCATTTTAAAAATGTCATAGGAGGAAGACGTAAGGTGAAAACGGGAAGGAGGAGTGCATAAAAAAGCAGACTCGGTGTTTGGAAAATAGTTAAAATAGACGTCTGCGAAACCCATAGACGAGAAAGAGATCTGTTTCTGTCCACCCTAAGAAGCCAAGTGGCGCTGCTTCAATCCGGTTGCTTTACGCTGGGGTGCCGATCCTGATCGCCTCGAAACCATCTCCCAGTCATGTTTTGCTGTGCAGCCATCTGGAGGGGGCTGGACTACGAACCCCATCGGCCAGAAATGGCGAACCCTCGGGATCCCAGTCCAGCTGTGTCGGCCGAGAGACCTTTCCCGCATAGAGCGTTTTAGGATCATCCGATTTCCTGTTGTTTTTTCCTGCAATGTGGATGCTTCCATGAAGTTCTTGGTTTTCGGAGGCCTTTGGCCGCCCTTGAACCCAGATGTTCCTTGCACAGCAGCCTTTGAGGGAAATCCGCCACCCTTCTGGGTCGGGACGAACTCCGGCGACCATCAACCTCAGCCCTCGGTCGGCATGATGGGTGTGCCGATCCTACCCTTTCTAGGCAGCACGCCGGTTCCCTGGCAGCGACTGAAGCGCTTCCTTGGTTTCTCAGATTGACACTGCAATAAAATGCTGCAGCGCTGCATCTGCCTCACCCAACTCAGAGGGACTCCGTTTCCCCCTCCTTGGTGGGATTCCAACCTCGGTCCAAACACTGGGTCATCCACTAAGAGTATTTTTGAAGTCTCCGATTTTTCAAAACTTGGGTTCTTCTCCTCACCCCACCCCCTTTTAATTAGCCTGCCTTCTAGTTTTATCACAAATGTGTGATTTCCTGATCCTTTTTGATGTGCCTTGTCAAACGGGCTGGGGACAACATTGACCTGCCCATGAAACGTGGCGGGGTCGGGAACCACATGCCCCCCCCCTGTACTGTGCAAGGATCACGGGAGCTTACACACACACGCACGCACGCACGCACGCACGCACGCACGCACGCACGCACGCACGCACGCACGCACGTCTTTTTACCCCTCCTTTTTCATCCTCCCAATCGGGATCCACCCCCTTTCTCTGGGAATTTTATCCCCACCCCGGGCTTTCATCTGTCGCCGTTTTGATCCGTTTGCTAGCATCTTGTTGCAAGGATAATTATTACAATAATGGTCATAGAACGGCAGAGCTGGAAAGGGACCCTCGAGATCCTCCAGTCCAGCCCCTGTCAAGGAGGCCCAGTGGAGAATTCGAACTCCTCACCTCTGGATCCACAGCCAGAGATCTAAACCCCTTGGAACTTTCCGTTTGCGAAATCCCCGTCATCTTCATGGAGGAGATAAAACTGTCCAGAGCGGCTAGCCGGGATCATTGATCTATTTCTGGCAGGTATCGGAGGCTGTACAGACTGGGGGAATCCGAGCCAACAGGTGTTGAATCGCACCCGGAGCGGCGCCGTCTCACGCCCTGATCTTCTTATTCTAAGCAGGCTTAATTCTGAGACCGCGTGGGCCAGCTCAAAATTGCATCTGGCCGAGCCGGCCGCTCCGGATGACAGAGAGAGGGTGAGGTTTTAATTACAAACCTCGCGTCTGTGTTGTTTTGTTTTTTGCACAGCCAGGGACTAGAGGGAGGAGGTGGCGTGCAAGTGTCACAACCTGGTTGTGTTCCTGGGTGTCATCAGGAAGCCGCACGAACGAGGGAGCAACTGGGTTGGGTGGAAATGGGTCCTGTTTCCAGCCGGCGTTAGTGTGTCATCTTTCTGAGGATCTCCCGAGAACGTCAGAGGGTTGGCAGCTGGATGGTTCGGACGAACTAATCAATCCTATTGTCGATCTGGGCTGCCGATTCGCCCCTATGAGCATGCAACCTCCATAAGGCCCCGTCTTCCAGAGTCCTGCTCGGCGTCTTCAAACTCAAAAGTCGTGGTTTCCTTTGGGAAGTCCATCCGTCTTGTATTGGGGTCTTCCTCTTTTCCTCCTGCCTGCCATTCCTCCCCCACCCCCCACCCCGTATAATTCTCTCTTCCAGGGAATCCTGCTTTCTCGTGATGGGCCCAAAGGAGGAACAGCCTCCATTTTAACCTCTTCGCCTCCAGAGAGAGCTCAGACTGAATAACAAGGATAATAAAATGAATAACGAGCCATTGATATTTAGACTTAGGGTGACCCAGGTTAAGGATCTGCCGGCCAGTCCCTCTGGGAAGGGGGGGTGTCGCCTGGGGACCACCCTGCAGCTTGCCCAGGGCTACATCAGATCAGCCCTATCGGTTCCCTCCAGGTGATCACGGATCGCTCATTTCCCAAGAAGCACGGCAGGATTCGAACTCCCGGCTCCCATTTCCCCCCCCCCTCCTCTTTGACCGCCGGCCAGGCTTGGGAGAGGCGGTGGATAAAATATCTGGGGTGGATCTGTCCTGGCTCCAGACCCAGCGTGGGGGCACCAACAGCTCCCCTCCCACCCGAAGGAGATTGAGAAGGTGGGAGACTCAGTGACGGAGCAGGTGGTTTTGTATATATATTTATTTAATGTTCTCTCTGCTCATCGGCCAGGCTTGGGAGAGGCGGTGGCTAAAATATCTGGGGTGGATCTGTCCCGGCTCCAGACCCGGCGTGGGGGCAGTAGAAGGTGGGAGACTCAGTGACGGAGCAGATGGTTTATATATTTATTTATTTATTTAATGTTCTCTCTGCTCGTTCTCCTCCTCCTCCTCCTTAGCCTCCGAGTCCCGCTTTTGTGGTTGATTGGTGTGTGTGAGTGTCTCACCACTTAGCCTCCGAGTCCCGCTTTTGTGGTTGGTTGGTTGGTGTGTGTGAGTGTCTAACCATCTGTCCCTTCTTGGGGAGCTTTCCAATTAGGGGTGTGTGTCTCCACCATCCCCTCCCCAAACTCACAAGCTGTCTGGTTTTGCATGGAAACAGGTGGTGGGCTGAGCTTGCCGTGGGGGCGGCTTCGTCATGAATTTTTCCCTGGCCCGTGAGAAACGTTTGCAGATCCATGCGGTTTGTAGAGCACAGGAAGTGGTGAACCCGTTGCCCTCGGGACTCATCCTTCGGAAAAAGAGTAGATGGGGAAACCTTCCCCCTTTCGCCCTATAGTAATAATAATAATACTCTTAGAACTGCAGGGCTGGAAGGGGAAAAAAGAGATCATCCAGCCCAACCCCTCTCAAGGCAGCCCAGTCTGGGGGATTCGAACTCCCAACCTCTGGCTCTGCAGCCAGACGCCGAACCCCTTCAGCTGTCACTCTCCGACAGCAGTGGTAAAAATTAAAATAAAAACAGTCCTAGGCTGGATAAAGCCTAAGGCCTCTCTTGCCCGGAAAGCCACCATTTTCCCAGGCTCCTAGTCCTCAGTGATCTGCAGTCCGAAATTGACTTCTCCTGGGCCTGGAAGATTTGTGTGGCTGTCATAACAGGACGGCAGGAGAAGGAACCTGAAGTGGAGTCCTTTCTGAATCACCCCCTCTGGCCCCATTGTGGCCGAGACGGGGAGCCCAGCATCACCACCCCCCAGCCAGGGCTTTTAAAAAATTATTATTATTTTTAAATCAAGAAGCCTGGAAAGGACCTGTAACGAAGGGCCCAACATAACCAGTTATGCTTCGTGCGGCTTTGAGAAACGCAGACGGATCTGGAAAAAGAGGAGGGAAAAACCAAAACAAACCCAGATTCTCAACAAAGTTTCACGATGATATATCCGCCTGGGGGGGGGGCTGGATGTGGGGGCCTTATGTGACTTTTTTCTTCTTCTTTTTCC